AGGCTGATATCAAATCTTGATTGGTATGACCCTGCGGTGTGAGCTCCTCCAGGAGAAGACTAGATGTCACCATTCATTTGCAGTAAGTGCACATCATTGCCATGAGAAACACAGCCTACCTCATTTTAAAACAGTGCTACCGTACAGCTAGGATGCCATTTTTTTAGTGCATTTCTAAACCGTTTCTATCAGCGGCAACGAGTCTACATAAGGGATTGACAGCTAGTCCACCCAATCAAATGAGACACGAAATAGCTTTTTGCAGGAATGAAGAAAAAATCCTGCACAGAAAACTTTCTGGGAAATCATGCAATTGGTTTTGCAGTTGCCTATTTCGATGACAAATGTTCAATGTTTGTGTTCAATGGAAAATGTAAGAGCTGCCAGTCTTTTTTTTTTTTTTTAAAGATGTTGTTTTTAGCTGTCAAAATTGGCATCCCTATTTCATCTCATATACTGTAAAATGATGTTCTTTAGTTTAGGTTGACTCTATTTTGCCAGTGACTCACATTGAGTACAACACGTCATTGCTGACTATTTAAATATAACAGGTTTGGTGGTATGAGATAGTGTTGGATAGTTAGCTTTGGTAGGTAGCAATAGCTGTGTTTCCATCACTCAATGTGCAATGCAAACAGGAACAGGTGATTAAAGAGTAACAGTGTTTTGTTGAACACAAAAGAAGATATTTTGAAGAAAGCTGAAGACCTGTAACCATTGAGAAACACTGTGGAAGTCAATGTGAAAAGATGATGCTAATCATCCAGGACCTCATGGTTAATACATCCGAAGAGATGATGCCAACCATAGAGGACTTCTAAAGGGCTCCATAATCCTGGATCAGGCCGTATCCTGAGCAGATGCTGTGGCTGTCATGGAGGTGTGGAGAGCATGAGATTGATTCCTAAAAGACCCTAGTGACAGTAAGACTCCGCATTGATCCTGTGTGTCAGCCTTAACCCGACAAATGACCTTCTCGCACCTACAGCTTCTCCACGGTGGATGTCCAGCGTTCTCCAGCCTCCAGCGCCTAGACTGCAGCTCTGCACAAGTTTGGCCAGTGAAAAAATGGTTGTGCCCAACTGAGCCTTGTTTTTTTTTTGTTTCTGTTTTTGTCCTTCACTTTCGTCAATTGGTTTCTTGGTTTGGGACTTGTCTAGCTGTGCATCGATGGATTTGCTGTTCAGTGTTTGGACTTTCATTCACTCATTTTCTGCCGCTTTTCCGGGGCCGGGTCGCGGGGGCAGCAGTCTTAGGAGATAACCCCAGACTTCCCTCTCCCCAGACACTTCCTCCAGCTCCTCCGGTGGGAAACCCGAGGCATTCCCAGGCCAACCGAGAGACATAGTCCCTCCAGCATGTCCTAGGTCTTCCCTGAGGCCTCCTCCCGGTGGGACATGCCTGGAACACCTGCCTAGGTAGGCGTCAAGGAGGCATCTGAAACAGATGCCAGAGCCACCTCAGCTGACTTCTCTCGATGTGGAGGAGCAGCAGCTCTACTCCGAGCTCCTCACGGGTGTCAGAGCTCCTCACCCTATCTATAAGAGTGCGCCCTGCCACTCTTGGAAGGAAACTCATTTCGGCTGCTTGTATGTGAGATCTTATTCTTTCGGTCATGACCCAAAACTCATGACCATAGGTGAGAGTAGGAATGTAGATTGACCAGGAAATCGAGAGCTTTGCCTTTCGGCTTAGCTCCTTTTTTACCACAACGGACCAGAACATTGACTACATTACCGTTGCTGCTGCACCAATCCGCCTGTCAATCTCATGGTCCATCCTTCCCTCACTCGTCAGCAAAACCCTGAGATACTTAAACTCCTCCACCTGGGGTAAAGACTTTCCTTCAACATGGAGATGGCAAACCACCTTTTTCCGATGGAGAACCATGCTCTCGGACTTGGAGGTCCTGATTCTTATCCCAGCCATGTTTGGACTTTCAGCAGTGAACATTAAACCACACTGAACTAAACTAAACTGAACTTCAACTTTGAAAACTGGACTGACACAGTTTTAATTTACTAGAACCTCAATTAACTAGGACTTCTATGTTAAGCTGCTTTGACACAATCTACATTGTAATAGCGCTATATAAACAAAGATTAATTGAATTGAATAAATGGTTACAGGTTTCCTGCTTTCTTTAAAACACCCTCGCCTGTGTTTAAAAGAAAAAAGAAACTCAAACAGGTTTGAAACAAGTAAAGGGAGAGTAAATGCTGACAGAGTTTTCATTTTAGGGTGAACTATCCCTTTAAGGTGGTTTATGAGGACATGCATTGTGTCCTCGTAATTCAAAACGCTTAAAAATAATACTAAACAGGGTTTTTTGACATTCAAAATTTGCTGCAGGTTTCCTGTGAAGCTTAAGTTTAGGGGTAGGAGTGTGGTAAGGCCATATAATAACTGTGTTTTTACTGTATAAAATACATTAAACCTATTGAGAGTCCTCTTAAACCATAAGTGTGTTTCTATATATCTGTGGGGGGTTTCTTGGTAGACAACATAACGTTTTTCATGGCCTATTTGCTTCCTAATTAAATGTATGATTTATGAATCCTTAGATATTTATAATGGAAAACAAGATGAAAGAGTGTGAATGTCTCTGTTCTTGACTAGAAATGTTGGCTGCATAAAAAATGAGACATTAAAGAATTATTTAGATGTTACAAACTATTTCATTAAAAAAGTGAAGTGTGTTTGTGTTAGCGTGGTGGGAGGAGAGTGTGAACGCAACAAAACTGGTGTTTCTGAGTTTGCTCTTTTTATGTGGTTATTTAACTGAATCGTCTCACTTCTTCTACCAAGCGGTTCTGAGAAACGTCTCAACTAGGTAAATATTAATTGCATTCTTCATTTGTTGGTTTTTATATTTTGTATTAGAGGAATTTTACAATCTATGAGCTAATATGTGTTGATTTCTTAACATGTCAGGAATTAGAAAATCAGAAATGTACTTAAAATGATTGTTTAACTGAGTTGAATTTCTGTAGGAATTGTGTGTATATAATTAGTAGGAGTTTTTAATGAACTTTTACTTGTTTTAATTTGACTACGGGCACAACCTTTCAACCCCGCACATGCTTAAGATTAATTAATAATATAAATCTGCATATCAAAACAAAACAATTAACAGTTTACACTGTTAGCAATTTCCTGTAAAATCTACAGTAACTGACTGTAAATTAATTACAGCAAAATACTGCATTTACATTAACAGCACCATTTATCTTGCTGTAAATGTATTTGTGAAAAATTGTATGTAAATCATTACTGTAAAATATACAGTGATTTTCATAATGCAACTTTAAAATACAGCAACACACCACATAACTGCCCTACAGTAAAACACAGTTCATAATACAGTTAAATACTGTGCAATTTACAATTATCAATAACAGTGTATGTATGCAATCATTTATGAGATAGTATTTGACAAATTTATACTATTTTTATATTTGAAACCTATGGAAAATAGTCTGTATTCCCGTGTTAATGTATTACTGCAGTATTATTATATTATATTATTATAATAATAATTATTATTATTATTGTTAATGCACTTAAATTTGTAAAGATACTGTACAATAATAGATTTGTGATGGGATGACGTAAAGGAATTGTGTGGAACAGAGCATGTTTTTACAGACATTTTACAGACATTTTTCATTTAAAAATAAACTATTCTTGCTGCATAAAAGTCATCAGTCAAACTGACAAAAATTACACTAAAATATATAAATTTTTTAACTTGTTTGAACTACTCATTTAAAATGAGCTGAAACAACACAATTCTTGAGATTTCATTGGGACAACTTCATTGTTTTAAGTTCAATTCAAATAAATTTGTTATAAATGTTAATTTAACTTAAGCGATTTGTGTTGGGACATTGTGAATTAATTCTGTGGAACCCTGCATTTTTACAGTGTATTAAGTTAAACTTTAAATAAAATATTTCAGTTAAATTTGGTTAAAATTAGCTCAAGTAGCATAAAAACCTTTGTTGTCATGACTTTTTGTCATATTACTTTTTTTACAGTGTATTTTAAGTGGGCAATTACTTCTCTTTTTATCCAAATACATTCCAAAATATATATTTTGCTGCTTGTTCAAACTATTAAAAATGAGTAGAAACAACACAATTCTTAAGTGTTTTGAGGGACAACTTGGTTGTTTTATGTTTAATCCACTAAATTTATAGTTAGCTTAATAGATTTGAGTTGGGACAACATGAAGAAATTGTGTAGAGCCCAGCATTTTTTACAGAGTAGCGTGAGGACATTTTCACTGTAAAAAACAATTATTATTTACTTGTTTAATTTATATTATGACTTTTGTTTTCTGAAACCATTCTTCACCAGACTCGAACCCTGTCATCGTGGTCAACTCCTCTCTGTGTCTGAAATTCACCTACGTACGTGGTGAGCTACTGAGCAAACTGGTAACAGCTGGAAAGCCGTCCACACCGAAGTAAGCGGTCAGCTGCTATTCACGAAAAGGAACGGTAATGTTCGTTTTAAAGACAAAATGCAGCCATACGTACTTCTGTCTACATAATTTGTGATCTCCAGAAACGTATACGGGGTACATTTTCAGAATGAGCCTGTGTTGCATTATATTTAAAATCGGCTTGGTGTATGTCTTGACCAGAAGTGTCCAAACTCGGTCCTGGAGGGCCGGTGTCCTACAAAATTTAGTTCCAACCCCAATCATAAACACCTGGGCTAGCTAATTAAGCTTTTACCAGGCTTTCTAGAAACATCCATGCAGGTGTGTTGAGGCAAGTTGGAGCTAAAAGCTGCCAGACACCAGCCCTCCAGGATGAAGTTTGGACTCCCCTGGTCTTGACAAACAGCCAGCAATGTAAGATGTTGTGAGGTTATGTAGAGCCGTATAAACTAATATAAGAGTCTTAAAATGGTGCATTGATAACCGCTGTAGTTCTATAAATGTCAGAATCACAGATTGGTGGTAATTAATCTTGTTCAACTCTTTCAGAATGGCTCTCCTTCTGTTGCTCTTCTCCCTTCCCTTTGCCTTCGGTTGTGAATCGGTCGCCAGCACCGAGTGCGAGAAGCTTCCCTTCGTCCCAGGGCACAATCTAGTAGGCGAAGGCTTCAACATCGTGCAGATGAAGACCACCGGAGCGTTTGTGGTGGATGTGCGCAACTACATGAGCGGCGGAGATCACGGCAACTGCACTGCCTGTGACAACAAGCTGCTCAACCAGAAGCAGAAGTTGCCCGTTTCTGTGATCGACTGGCGGATCAAGGTGCAGTGCCGCCGAAGTCTCTCCGCCAAAGTGTACGAATCGGCCAGCTCCGTTATGGAGGACACCACCAGTGCTGCCAGTCTGAGCTGGAAGGTTGGTTTGAGTGTCCCGATGGTGGCTGGTGTCGCTGTGGGTGGCACTCATTCTAAATCAGCTCGCTTCGCCAGGAGCCACGCGTCTAAAGACAAGTTCTCCTACACAAGTCACACCTTTTCCTGCCGTTATTATTCGTAAGTCCTGGTGTTTTGACTTTACAATAAGGTTGTATTACTTGTATTAAGATTGTAAGGTTGGTTGACATAGAGTAAAGTCTGTATTTTTGGGATTTACACCATGTTTCAAAAGTGATATACATAGAAAATAACCACATATGTTGGGTAGAGCTGTGAAGCTACACTGGTCTCACGGTTCGGTTCGGTTACGACTATCATGCCATCGATTCGGTTCAATTCGATACCACAGTGCATTGACGGTGCTTTCCATACACAGTTTATTTATTTACTATTTGTCATGCAATTTTGTCATTTAATACAAACAGTCAGACATATAAACTGTACCTTTAAACAACAAGGCAAGGCAAGGCAAGTTTATTTATATAGCACATTTCATACACAGTGGCAATTCAAAGTGCTTTACATAAACAAGAATAAAAGAAACAAGTAAAATAAAAACAAATGATAAAAATGAATAAAAAAAAAACACGAGTGTTGAAATATATGTGTCTTAATAGTTTTTATAGCAGCGAGGGACACATATATGACTGTCAACAGTTTATTTTTTTTTGGTGTTTGTGACCGTTTAAAGATACAAGCGTCTTCCATATTCCATGCAATGTTTTCCAAATAACATTTTTTTTTTTCTCTTAATTCATCAGATTTCGTCTTCATGCTCGTCCTCCTCTAACCAAAGAATTCGCCGGCTCCATAAGTTCACTTCCTGCAAAGTTCGACAGTACATCAGAAAGTGCGTACAACCACTTCATCTCAATCTACGGGACCCACTTCTTGCGGAGAGTCGATCTGGGTGGCCGTGTGAAGTCCACCACTGCTGTAAGGACCTGCCAGGTTTCCATGAAAGGTCTATCGGCCAACGACGTGAGCAACTGCTTATCGGCGGAGGCATCCGCCATAATTAAGGGCGTGAAGGTTAGTGGGCAAACAGCCTACTGCAAATCCAAACAAAAGCAACTGGAAAGAGCCAACAGCTTCAGCGCCACCTTTTCTGACCGGGTCACTGATATACTCGGGGGCAACGGTGAGCAGCAGGACATCCTATTCACTCCGAGCAACGTCAGTGGTTACGGCAAATGGCTGGGCTCACTTAAGAAAATCCCAGGAGTGGTGTCCTACACTTTAAGCTCGTTGCATATGCTCGTGAGAAACGACTCCGCTAGAAGAAGCAGTCTACAACAAGCTATCAGCAAATACATCACCAAATACGCCATATCAACTGCATGTCCTCGCAACTGCAAAGTGGGAAAGCGTGAGCGCAATTGCGCATGCAAATGCAACGGGCATGTAAATGTTAATAGCAACTGCTGTCCGAACAAACCAGGAGTCGCCACATTGACCGTCACCGTGGTGAGTGCTGCAGGATTATGGGGAGACGTCTTCTCTAAAACAGACGGTTATGTTAAAGTCTTCTACGGCAGCCACACGGCGCAGACCCCTGTGATCTGGAACAACAACTTTCCTCAGTGGAACTTTCGCGCAGAGTTCGGGACTGTGGATCTGACTAAAAAAGCGTGAGTTGTTGTTAATTAATTGTAGCCTTCAGATTTTAGCCTTCAGGGGTGGACATAACTGATGCACAATATTATAATGATCTCATTTATAAAACTTTGCATTGAAACCGTCCTAAAAAAAAACCCATCTACCACATAAATGAAAGTGCCAGAGTAATTGGTGGCTCCTTCATCTGTGGTAACCCCTGATAAATCAGGCACTAAACCAAAAAATGAGACACCTTCCACGACAACTTTACTAGCACCATTTCCTCAGATCACAGTTTCAATTAAGTTAATTAAACATAAATGATGGGCGACATGGTGGTTTAGTGATTAGCACTGTCGCCTCACAGCAAGAAGGTTGGCGGTTTGAGTCCCGGCTGGACCAGTTGACATTTCTGTGTGGAGTTTGCATTTTCTCCCCATGTTTTGGGTGCTACAGTTTCCCCATAGTCCAAAGACGTGTGCGTTATGTATAAGTAAATTGGCTGTAGTCTTTGAGTGTGTGTGAATGCAAGAGTGTATAGGTGTTTTCCAGTAATGGGTTGCAGCTGGAAGGGCATCTGCATTGTAAAGCATATACCTAAGTTGGCAGTTCATTCCGCTGTGGCAACCTCTAATAAATAAGAAACTAAGCCGAAGTAACTTAATTAATGAAGTTTAAATGACCTAAGTTAATGTGACTTAACCTAAGTAATAATTACTTCTACTTCATTAGTAAACAAGACTTGATCTTATTAAGTTAAAATTACTTAACTGAAGTGTGCAAATTCATTGCCTTAATTCAATTAAGTAAACTTAACAAATCACTTTTTACAGTGTAAAAGGAAACATACGCCAGGATAAAATTCAATTATTGTACTAATGTATATAGCTCATGTAATGCTTTAAAGTGGTTCGATTAATTTACTATTTAAGTCAAATATGTATACTTAGGGTTTACTTACAGCTGCTCACATTCACCCGTCATGTTTGGTTTTTATGGATCAAAACTTTTGCATGGGAAGTGGCGTACGCATGTTTCCACGCCTGTTTTGTGCAACACTACCTCACGGCAATTCATACAGTCTCATTCGTACAATTTAGTCCGATTTACTCATCCACCAATGACGGTTGGGTTTAGGGGCGGGGTTTGGTGCCTCGCCTCCTTTTAAAAATCTAATGTCCTCAAATTCGTATGTATTAGCCACTAAAAGGACAAAATATAAAATAGTTAAGTTTTTACTGGTTTTGTGCATACACCACATTTATAAATAAGACCCCAGCTACGGCACTAGAGAATCGATTTTGCGTACCAGCACTGTTGGCATTTGGAAACCTTGCTACCCAAGGTACTGCAAAATCAGTCATTTCCCCTAGGGCAAAAATGCCATCTCGATAATGGTTTTCCATATTGAACGATAACAATATATATTCCGATATAAGCTGTTAATGCTTCCAGATTCAAAAGAGTATCCCAACAGTGACTGAAGCCACAAAAATTAGAGGGTCCATTAAACTGCATAACATATTTTCGGCTGATACATTTTTGATGGCCAAAAGTTCGGTGCATCTCTAATATCAATATTTTTTTAGATTCCCATTGTTGCACATTTCTGCTGTGTGATTGGCTCTTAAATCAATATAGAGTAAAAAAAAAAACAAGGCTAATCATTATTTACGTAAATTTTATTGTGATTCGATATAATATCGTTTATCGGCACAGCACTAATTTCCACATGCATCTTTGGTACGATAACTCTTACAAATGTGTAAAACGTTGTTAGTTTTCATGTAAAATAATGGAAACATTCATAATAAATACACTCATATACTATATGTGCCGGTAAGTGTCAGCATTTTAAAAACAAAACATTTTTAAAGACCAAAGCTCAAACTTGAGATGGTCAATTGAACTCGGGTGTGAGACAGACAATCAAGCCAAGTATACTTGAGGTACAAACAACCAACATAGGCTCATTTTGAAAATGTAGCCCTATATACATTTCTGGAGAGCGCAAATTATGTAGCCAGAAGTACATATGGCTGAATTTTGTCTTTAAAACGAACGATACGGTTTGGTATAACCCCGTTCCTTTTTTGTGCTAACAAAACCGCTTACCTCAGTATGGACGCCTTTCCCACTGTTATCAGATTGTCCAGTGGCACGCAGCATACATTGGCTGTTGATTACGATGACGGGGTTCAAGTCCGGCGAAGAACAGTTCCAGAAAGTGGGTAAGGCAAAAATAAAAGCCAAAAAATGAAATAAATAAGTAAATAATAGGGTGAGAATGTAGTAATATCTAAAAACGTAGATTTTTAAACATAGAAATCTAAAAATCAGGTGAAGGCTTTTCTTTTACTGCATTGGTTTAGGAAAGTGGGTGGGTGCTGGTCAATCGATGTCTTTTAAAACACTATTGGTTGGGTTTAGGGAAGAAGGTGGTTGAGTCAGTCAGTTAGTCAGTCAGTCGACAGCGGCCTCTGGTGGATTTAAGCAAGAAGTGCAGGTGTGAATGGCACTCGTGAGAGAAATTTGAGATCTGAAAAAGCGTACACAGCGGCCTCTGGAGAATTCGCGAAAAACAAAAACTGAGTAACAAATAAGATGTTATGTGCACCCCTGAAAATGCAGGTAAACTTTGAATCCGAATAATATCTGTTGCACTTCATATCATATCTATGTTCTTCCTACAGGAGCTTGCAATTTCAGGTGTGGGATCGTGACAACGGGTTTGATGATGACCTACTGGGAAAAGGTGCTGTTGTCCCAGAAAAAGGCGTCAATGTGCCGAAGCGGTTTGGGTTCAAGCATGGCTCACTCATGATCTCCTACAGTGCAACGTGCGGCCCAAGCCTTCAAGGGTCTTTCTGTGAAATATACGCTCCTACCCCAGGTGGTGATGGTGTTCTTAACTATTACAATCCCTTTGGCACGGAGAGGCCTGTTTTCTTTAAAACCGATTCAAAAAGAGATATGTCCTTCCTTTAATAATTAAATGTCATTACACTTCCTGACAAAAGTCTTGTCGCCTATCCAAGTTTTAGGAACAACTAATAATAACTTCACTTCTAGTTGATCAGTTGGAATCAGAAGTGTCTTACATGAAATGCAAAGGCCTCTAGATTACGCCTATTTTACCGAAATAAAATATGATCGTGACTTTTTTTAAAATAATTTAATTAATTCTATCTCGGCAATGACTCAAATCGCATATTAATAAAGTCATCTGGAATGCCAAAGAAAGAGTTCTTGCAGGGACTTTTGATTTATCTTCAATGCTTCCTCAATCTTACCCCAAACATGCTCAATAATGTTTATGTCTGGTGACTGGGCTGGCCAATCCTGGAGCCCCTTGACCTTATTTGCTTTCAGGGACTTTGATGTGGAGGCTGAAGTATGAGAAGGAGCGCTATCCTGCTGAAGAACTTGCCCTCGCCTGTGGTTTGTAATGTAATGGGCAGCACAAATGTCTTGATACCTCAGGCTGTTGATGTTGCCATCCACTCTGCAGATCTCTCGCACACCCTCATACTGAATTTAAACCCAAACCATGACTTTTCTTTTAACCAAACTTGACTGTTTTTTGTGAGAATCTTGGGTCTATGCGGTTTGCAATAGGTGATGATTGGGATGCAGTTCAACAGATGATTCATCAGAAAAATCGACCTTCTGCCACTTTTCCAAATGATCAACTAGAAGTCAAGTTATTATTTGTTGCTCTTGCAACTGGGATCGACAACAAAACTTTTGTCAGGTAGTGTAGAATATAAAGCCAATGTAAAATACTGATATCAGCCTTTTTTTCTTCCTCAGCTTTATAGAATTTTACAAAAATGTAGAAATATCACACATTTTAGTATAATATTATACATTTTTATAAAGAGAAGGAAAGTAAACAAGGATCCAAAAATGATTGTGACAATGACAATTATTAACCCCAAATATATTTACATATATTTAAACAAATGAAATAAAACAAACTGATAACAGGCTTTTTATTAATGAATATACAATTAAAGATATTTGCAATGTTTACATTGCAGTTAGTTATTTTAAACCACATATATTTCCCCATTTTCCTCAAACTGCACAACACATATTTCAGTAGACAAATTAAGAACTTTCATCTTGATTTTCCTTTGGTAATTTGTTTTAAAACTGTATAATAATGCTTTCAAAACTCATAGAATAAAAAAAAACTTTCTTGACTTTTTCTGTCTCTTTGGTGTTCATATTTTAGTCGTTTTCTTTAACTTATTATGGGCGCTATGAAGTCTTTGGCAAAATGTAATAATAATGAAACTTTTAATAAATATTATGACAATTAATGTCACAAAAAGGGCAGCAAATTAGGTAAAAATGACTCTAGAAAAAGATATAAGTTGAGAAAAAAACACTGATTACTGTGCATAAATAATTTTTTCTAACTTAATTGTAAAATGACGATTATTGGATGGCGCACTACTTTCCACTTCAAAGCTCCAAATTTAACCCAGTGTATTACTTGACATTTTTTTTGTAAATGTTTGTGAAATTTACAACCAATTTCTTTGTAAAAATTGTTTTCAAAAAATCATACCCTATTTTTTTTATTGGAAAAATTATTTTCATCATAAAAATATTAAATTCATGCCAAAAGACTCCAACATCATGAAGAAAGTGCTCCCAGACACTTTTTGAATTAAAAATGAAGATGACCAATAAATAATAATAATATTAATAATAATAATATAAAATAATATTATTAATAATAACAACAATAATAATAATAATAACAATAATAATAATATGTAAAATCTAACTATTATTGATATGACCAAATTTAATAGACTTTATATGAATTGACATTATACATACAATGATACAGCTTTTAAAGCAGGCTAAAAAACAAAATACGTTTTTCCTTTTCTGAGCCAAACAGCGCCCCCTCTCGAAAAGCACAAACTTCGCACAGAAAGTCTCCTTCAACTGTGTTCAGGTTAATAGTTTTAGGCCAAAACATCCCTATAACTTAAAAAAGCAGATATGATTTTAAAAGTCATGTACACTGATGTTGAGGGAGGTTTATTAATGAAAAGCCTTTATAAATAAAACATCTTCAGGGCCATTAAATCTGCAGTAAAATAAAATTGTGTGTATGTATTCTGCATAAAGCTCTTTTTGCAGAAACATTTGAACACAAACAACATGTTAAAGTTAATTTAATTGTACATTGAAAACAATACACTCTGAATCAACTTTCAAAGTTTTTCTCAAAGTATAATTCAATTGGATTGGATTCTAACTAAAATGTAATTTAATCCAAATCACAAATATTTATTGTGGTCATGAAAAAAAAACATTTGCACAAAGTAAAAATATTGGTTAATAAAAAGACAATAAATATATTTTACTTTCGTACTTTAGTCTCTTTTTGTAATCTTACATATAATTTTCTTTTAGTAACCTAATGAATTACTGTATGATTAAAATAAATTATGTTTGCTCCTTATTTAAATTGAGCTAAAACAATCCAATTCCTCAGTTTTTTGGGGACAACTTAATTGTTTTATGTTTAATTCAATTAAATTAGTAAAAACTACTAAATTAACTAAATTCCTTCATGTTGCAACACAAATCGATTGTGTAAAACACAGCATTTTTATGTGTAATTTATTAAAGCTAAATTTATCAATTACCGTCATATTGACGTGGTTGCGAATGAAAAACTTATTTTAATATTAATCAAAAACATTTATCCTGCCCAAGAAAAAAAATATACATGGACTTAAATGTGAAATATTGTTTTGAATTTATTGAATTACTTTGGTCAACTTAAAATCAAGTTGGGAATCAGTGCTTTTGAAAACACTGTCGGTTGGGTTTAGGCAAGGAGATGGTCAGGTCAATATTTTTATTTTATAAATTTATAATTTATAAGTCTAATAATATAATATAATACAATATAACATAATTTAGTATAATATAATTTAATATAATATAAAATAATAAGATAAAATATAATATAACACAATATAATGACACTTTAATATAATATAATATAACATAACATAATACAATATAATATAACTTAATATAATATAACATAATATAATATAACTTAATATAATATAATATAATATAATATAACATAAAATAATATAATATAGTATAATATAATATAATATAATATAATATAACTTAATATAATATAATATAATATAACATAATATAATATAATATAACATAATACAATATAATATAATATAATATAATATAATATAACTTAATATAATATAATGTAATATAATATAATATAACATAAAAAATATAATATAATATAACTTAATATAATATAATGTAATATAATATAACATAAAATAATATAATATAACTTAATATAATATAACATAATATAATATAACTTAATATAATATAATATAATATAACTTAATATAATATAATATAATATAATATAATATAACATAATATAATATAATATAACTTAATATAATATAATGTAATATAATATAATATAACATAAAAAATATAATATAATATAACTTAATATAATATAATGTAATATAATATAACATAACATAATATAATATAACTTAATATAATATAACATAATATAATATAACTTAATATAATATAATATAATATAATATAATATAATATAATATAATATAATATAATATAATATAATATAACATAAAATAATATAATATAATATAATATAACTTAATATAATATAATATAATATAACATAATATAATATAATATAACATAATACAATATAATATAATATAATATAACTTAATATAATATAATGTAATATAATATAATATAAAAATATAATATAATATAACTTAATATAATATAATGTAATATAATATAACATAAAATAATATAATATAACTTAATATAATATAATATAATATAATATAATATAATATAATATAATATAACTTAATATAATATAATATAACATAATATAATATAATATAACATAATATAACATAAAATAATATAATATAACTTAATATAATATAATATAATATAATATAATATAATATAATATAACATAATATAATATAATATAATATAACATAATACAATATAATATAATATAATATAATATAACTTAATATAATATAATGTAATATAATATAATATAACTTAATATAATATAATGTAATATAATATAACATAAAATAATATAATATAATATAATATAATATAATATAATATAATATAATATAACTTAATATAATATAATATAACATAATATAATATAACTTAATATAATATAATATAACTTAATATAATATAATATAACATAATATAACGTAAAATAATATAATATAATATAATATAACTTAATATAATATAACATAATATAACATTATATAATATTATTTATCATAATAAAATATAATGTTAATATAACATAAACTATTATAATATAATGTAATATTATATAATTTAAAATAATATAAAATAAAATAATATAACATAACATAACATAACATATCATAGCATAATATAATATAATAATTACTACAAGAGTATGTGTATTTCAGTTTGCCCCATCTGTTTTATTCCCCCGCATTAGCCTGAAATAATCCCGCATCGATTATTTCATCAGGCCTAAAGGAGTCTCCTGCTCTTTGATTCCGCCTAAAACAAACTACAGTTCCCTAGTTATGATGGGGAACGTGGGCCAGTTACGCGCTGCGGAGACGCACAGTACAGCAAGCGAGCGGGATGGGGGAGGGGCAGCAGGTAAAGTGAGACGGATGCGCGTGCGCAGAAGATCCCCAGCCCTCTGCATCGCTCCCCTCCCCCCACCTCTCTTTTTTTTTTGCAGCATCAGTACCGCGTTCGGAATCGCATTCGTGTGCTGGAGTCAGAGCGCGCTGCGGGGCATCACTGCACCGCCACGGAGGACACACCACCACCATCACACAACCAGGAACAGGGAAAAGGGGGAAAAGGCGTGAAATAGCGCAGAGAGGAGACAGAAGAAACAGGGCGGCCTTTTTTTTCCCCCCAAATCACCTGCTACATCTGTGGGAAATTAAAACAGGAGCCAGACATTTGCCAAGCATAAAAACACGAACGCAGCGGACATCTCAAGAGATATTTTTGGCCAGCACGGCGGGGAAAAATGAAGGATCGCACGCAGGAACTACGAAGTGTAAGTCTGCTGCTTTTATCGCTCATCTCCTCCCATATTCTCCGTCTCCTCACCGCAACCGGGCGTCAGCAGCTGACATCTCACTGCTGCTCGCTCACGGTTCAGCATTTACGGGGATGTGCACGGAATTTTCCCGCGATCTCACATCCTCATACTCCTTATTTCTCCTTTCTTCTTGATGCAGTTACTCAATCAAATCGCGGATATACTACGTGTTTAATAGCCGCTCTCACTCCCGCACCCTTCCATGTGCGATGGATCGATTTATCGATCAAATCTGGTTATATGGCGTAATTTGCGAAATGAGCCCCCCTACATTAACATGCATACAAACAGACCACCTTTGATACATGTCGCCCAGGAGTGTGATCTATCTACTGCTGCTGCGGATAGTTAGCCAGTATCCATACACTGACACGCACCATCCCAATATCTAATTCTATGATCACCGCATGATCAATAATTAATACAGATCTTTATGTTTTATTTTATTTTATTTTAAAACGGATATAACACTGGTTCTCCTTTGGTACACCTTAAATTTGCCTTCTGCACCAGGGAATTTTGAGTATCTCCAGCTAAAGCTGCATCCCCGATGCATGTACATCTTCATCGGACGCATTTTAATCGCTGGGTGTGATGTGCGATTATTGCAGCACGCATTGTTCCGTTCTTAGCCCCTATATTAGGCATGAAAGGATGTAATATTGTTGCTTGTATCGCTCAATTGAGCTAAAGCAATGCAACATGGCCGCCAAATTATTTCTATTTGTAGTCGCGACGGTATAGCGGCTTAATCATTTATTTATTTATTTATTTTTCCATAATATCGAAGGTGGGCCTTGAGGCTTTAATGCGTCGCCCAACCTCCACGAATTTTCCGTCGCCAGAGATCAATGAAATATCGTAAAGGAAACGCCTGAACCCAGTGCACTGCACTCATCAGTGTGCGCGCGCGCGCGTGGTGCGCTTGGGGGGTTATAAGACAGATAAGTAGTGCATTAACATGTTTGTATAAATAAATAGATAACTTCACAACTCAAGCCATCTTCATCAACTCAAAGTCATTAGTGCAAAACTCGGACCGGAATCCGTCCAAGACTTCCCTTATTCCCCTCGGAGAAGCGGAGCATCTGATATCAGCCGTGGCTTATCAGACGCAATGTAGAAATGTAATCTACAGATAATTGGATTTACAGAATTCGCAATTATACGTGATGCGCGTGCACCATATCCTCCCCAAAGCCGAGCACGCTCGCTGTATCCTCCGCCGCCTGCGCTTTAAAACACACATCCATCATTAGTCTTGCTTCTAAAGGTGTTAATAGCTCAACGCGAATCTGATGCGACATGATTGGGCAATAATCACATTTTATGTAATCGTCAACATCACTGTGACGTATTGGTCGCGCGGTGAGGGAAGCGTACGGGTTGCTTGGACTGTGGGCGTGCGCAGGGCGAGCGTGTCTGTGCATAGCGGAGACGAGCAAGGATAAATCAGACAGAATTCATTGACCTTGCCCCCCTTTCTGGATTGGGTTTCGTTTGTGTGTAGGGGAAGGGATCTGACATTAAATGAATGAGTGAGATTGAATGGCGTAATTGCAGGCTTGTCGTGGAAGCGAGGTGGAGATGCAGCATTGTTCCACAGTGGCCAAAGCAAACCTGGGATAAAAATTTCACATCAAACACTGAAGATTTATGACTTTAATCGGCTACTCCAACGAAGATGTCACCTCAACTGCGCCGTTCACATAATTAGTATACTTAATTTCTTACGATTGCAGTGATAGCGGCCAAAAAGAGACCCACAGAGGATTGAACGGAATATCAATGGCAAATCATTAGGTGTACATAATAAAGCTATGGAGTCATGCAGGAGAAAATGGCACTATTGCATTAAGTATATATTTAATTATATGTATATATATATATATATATATATATATATATATATATATATATATATATATATATATATATATATATATATATCTTTTTTGAATATTTTCTAAACGATGTTAAATAGAGCAAGGAAATTTTCACAATTTGTCTGATAATATTTGTTCTTCTGGAGAAAGCTTTATTTGTTTTCTTTTGGCTAGAATAAAAGCAGTTTTTATTTTTATTTTTAAAAACATTTTAGGGACTAAATTAATAGCCCCTTTAAGCTAATTTTTTTTTTCGATGGTCTCAAGAACAAACCATCGTTATACAATAACTTGCCTAATTACCCTAACCTGCCTAGTTAACCTTATTATTAAGCCTTTAAATGTCACTTCAAGATATATAGAAGTGTCTTGAAAAAGATCTAGTAAAATATTATTTACTGTCCTTATGGTAAAGATAAAATAAAACAGTTATTAGAGATGAGTTGTTATAACTATTATGTTTAGAATGTGTTGAAAAAAAATCTTCTCTCAATTAAACAGAAATTGGGGAAAAAACTAAACAGGGTGGCAATTAATTCAGGGTGGCTAATAATTCTGACTTCAACTATATATATATATATATATATATATATATATATATATATATATATATATATATATATATATATATATATATAACAATTAAAACAGATATTAGCATAAATATAGATGTTTTTATGAGCGTTTTGATGTTTCAATAAATGTTATAGCTGAAATATAGCCAAAAATATATAAGAGGCAAACGTTCCCCATCCAGCCTGCTCTGTCGCAAAAAGTCATGCCTTCTTTGATCATTTTTGTTGCCATGTTTATTGGGTTTGTCAGGTATCAACATATATTAATTATAACCTTATAACTATATTACACTATAAAACTACCCTACAAAAATGCTGGGTTCTACACAAATCCTTCATGTTGGCTCAACACAAATCTATTAAGTTCATTTTTACAAGTTCAAGTGGATTGGACATAAAACAATTAAGTTGTTGCCAAAAAAACCTAATAATTGTGCTGTTTCAACTAATTTTAAGTAAAAAGCATTAAAAGGGATTTTTATGACGGCATCTCCACTAATATATGTTTCTGATGCAAACATCTAATATGGATCTGTGGTGAGTTTCCTAAACAACGATGCACCTCGTGACTGAACTATCATAGTACGATGCATCGTTTGGGGAAAGAACGACGTAGTTATGGATGTTTCCCAAAACCAAAAGTTCAAAAACAAAAGTTTCTTTATCGCAGATCCGTTTAAATCACGTTAGTTATATCGTAAAACGCCTATAATAAAGCTCTAACTGGGGCGGAGCAACAACTTCTTTAGAGAAGAACCCCATAATTTCTTTGTGCAAACTATATTGTTTTACACGCACGCGCATTTAAAATAAAATCCATTATCAGTTTTGATAAAGACATGCACTCATTTTCCATATTAATTGAAATATATGTATATGTCACATATTTAATATTCTATTCCAAAACATAAAATCACTTACAAAAAGCTAACACGCATGCTGGTCTCATATATAAATCATATAAAGAAATAAACAATGAGGCTATTAATTAAGAAATTAAACTTTATATTTATTAGGAAATGAAAAAAAAATCAATTAATACTTTAATAACAGTAACATTAATAATAATGATGATGATGATGATTATTATTATTATTATTATTATTAAGTAGGATATTGTTTATTTAGTTTTTATTTTTTGAAAAGTCTACTTACTTAATTTGACACATGTAAACCACTGCAGAAATGTTGTAACCCAGTAGTTATCAAACTCTTTTCATCAATTACCACCTCGGAAAAAAAATTGTCTCTTCAAGTACCACCATAATGAGCAGCATTGAAATAGAGTAGCCTAGTAGGCCCAGGAAAGCAGCTACAACTCTGTACATTTCCAAAAATAGGCAGATTAATTCCTACTGTTTTATTGTTTAAATTCCTATTTATTTTTGTCAGCCACTTTAAACATTATAAATAGTTGAATATTAACACTATATTTAAAAAATAAATAAATAAAAATAACAAAAACAAACCAAACACGTTTATAACACACCAAACATTTATATTAAAATTTGCTTTTAAACGTTAAAAATGACAGGTTACTGTTTTTAAAAGCTAGGAACAAAAATCTGTACTTAAATGTAAAGTATTAACATGTAGTAGCCTATTTATCAACACCTACAAATGTTGCCTGGACCTCATAAAAATAGGCTATATGTCCTCATATTCATATATAAAATAATTTTTGAAAGATTTTTAAATATATGTAGCATTTACATTTGACATTTAATTCCTCCACATACCACTAGAAGGAAGCCTGCGTAGCACTAGTGGTACACGTACCACAGTTTGAGAACCACTGTTCTAACCAACAGGCTTGTGTCATATACAGTACAGATACTTAATAAATAACCTACTATAAATTAAAAGCATTAGCGTATGCTATGTTTTTTGTTTTCACAAGCTTTGGAGATGTAATGTAAATTCCGCTTTTAAATAATAGGTCACCTAAAGCTTTCATCATCAGCCACGGCTGTGTTCAAAATGACATCAATGTTTTCAAAGTGCACTGTGAAGGCACCGCAATTGTAAAGATGAAGATCGCTAAAACTGAACTGTAAAAATACTTTGAAAGCAAATTACATCTAAGAGAGATGACCTTAACGCTTTTTTTTAATGTTAGAATGTTCTAAATGAATAGGGCATAGGGGGAATCACTGAATAGAACACAACCAGGAACTATGTTTCTAACTACAGCTCCAGAGGTGTAGTTGCAAACATACAAGTTCATTGGAAAGACGGATTTGGGAAACGGCAAATCAACAAACTACGTTTTGTAACAACCGAACTTGCGACCTTAGTTGGCTAACGATGGTTTTCGTAAATGCACCCCTGTACGAGATGCATAATATTTTGAGATCTGCGATCCAATATTATGCGTAACACTAAACTGATAGTTCTATATCCGAAAAATTTACAGCAAGGAAGTATTTTCACATGATGACTGCGTCTTTTGAAAAGCAGACACATTTTATGTCAGCATTTGGAAGCGGTACAG